CGGTCGGCTTATTCCCTGATCGGTCGGCTTATAGTTCGGCTGGTCAAAAATGGGGCAGTCCAGGTTCTGTTGCCATAAAAAGGAATATTATACGCAGCTATGACGACAGTGAGATTCGAACTCACGCCCCGAAAGACTAGATGAGCAGTCAGTGTACAACGACCTGATTCTAGCGCCTTAGACCGCTCGGCCATGTCGCCCTTGGCTCTGGCCGGAGGGGGATCGTATTACACGGCCGGGAGGTCCAGGTGCCTGCTTATTGCTAAAGAACATTCATCCCCATCCTGGTGGGATTCTATAGCCTCACTCGAAGTACCGCTCTTTCACTCCCCAGAAAGATCCGTAGACTGATAATTGCGATTCTGATTCATATGGCGATCGCACTGAGCACTGAGCACTGAGCACTGAGCACAGGCCTGCGCGATGTGGTACTGGTATGTGTAGAGACGGTGGGGACGGACGGGTATCGTACGGTATCCGAGTATGTACATGTATGCGTGTAGATAATAACGATAGGGGTGTATGTATGAACCTATAGATCCAGAGAAAAACTTGAAGTGAGCACGAACGAACGAAGAGGTGTGTGTCTTGAGACAGGGCACAGACTGTAGAGTGTCCGTAAAAGAAGCAAGGAGCAAGAAGCAAGGAACAAGGAGGAACGGACGCCGCACGCATCACACACGACAGCACCCCGCCGGCCCCGCCTTCTCCTTCGCCGGTCCAGCAAGCGCAACCCCAGGCCCCCTCGCCTCGAGCACCTCCTGCCAGCGCGCCTCGGCCTCCCACCTCCGCACGACGCGGCGCACGACATACGCAAACACATCGCACACGCCCGCGCCCGTCTTGGCGGACGTGAAGAACAGCCGGGGGCGGGAGGAGGAAGCGGGCGTGGTGGCGGTGGTAGTGGTTGTGGTCGTGGTGAACGACGATGTGGACGCGGCGGCGGATTCGCGCGCGAGCAGGAGGGCGGGTGTGATGGTGGCGGCGCTGGACTGCCTGCTGCGGACGCTCATGCTCGGGGAGGACGGGGAGAGGGCCAGTGCACCGAGGCGCGACGCGGAGGACGACCGGGAGTGGGAGTGGGAGTGGGAGGAGGCGCCCCAGGGCTCGGGCGAGGAGCGGGCAGAGGCAAAGACGTCGGAGACGGACGAGGAGGGCGTGTGGTACATGCTGAGGGACGTGTGGGTCGAGGTGACGGTGCCGGAGGCGGTGCCGGTGTGGAGGTACGCGGAGGAGCGGGAGCGCGGTTTCGCTAGGTGGATGGCGATGGAGTCGGATGGGGCTGGTGGGGGCGCAGGTGGTGGGGGGCGGAGGGTTGCGATGGAGGCTGCGAGTGGGTGCTGGTCTTCGTGTGGCGGGGACGGTGGCGGCGATGGGGGGACCAGCACATCGAGGACGTGCTGCACCTGCGCCTCGGAGACTCTCCCATCCCCCGACTCGAGATCCACCTTGTTGCCGACGACGACGCAGCAGCACGTCCGCAGGTCCTCGTCCGGCACGGGCGCATGGGCGCGGAACTCGGCCCACCACTTGGGGAGGGCGTCGAGCGTCGACGGGGTGTTGACGTCGAACATGAGCAGCACGGCGTCGGCGCCGCGGAAGAACGCATTCGAGAGGGAGGAGAAGCGTTCCTGGCCGGCTGTGTCCTGCAGCGTAAGGATAGAGATAGACGGACGTAAGCCTGGGATTGTGTGCACACGACACACAGAGACGCACCCAGATCTGCAGTGTGACGCTCTCGGAGGGGTTGGTCGGGTGCGGGAGCGTCTTGGTGATAAAGTCCGCGCCGATGGACGCTCGATAGCCCGTCGAGAAGCGCCCAGAGATGAACTACGTATAGTGATGAAAAATTTAAAGACACAGGGGTCGGTGGGGGTGCGTACCTGACCTCGGAGGCTCGTTTTTCCTACGCCAGACGCGCCGAGCACGACGAGCTTAACTGTAGGCATCTGAGTGGGGCTGGCTCGCTGCGGGCGGGACGAGCATGGAGGCTATTCTGAAAGCGACGACCGTCATGTCGGACCTGTCACGAGGAGGCTCTTGCCAAACACCGCCATCGTCGTGGTGTCCCTTCAACACCACAAACGTCGCTATAAGGAATGCGGTTCCTGGCATCGCAGCAGACGTCTTGCGCAACGGAGGCCGGAAATTTCACGGTCTAATCGAACTCTTCGCGTTTGGTGAGCACTTTCCTGGACCCCTGTGGCAGCACGAATATTCTGGCGGAGCAAAAGCAACGAAATCTATTCGCCTCCCCACAGATATCTCCAGGCCTCTATCAATTGAAATCGACCACAGCCAACATCGTCGATGGGCCCCAAGTAGATTTCACCGATAACAAGAATGTAGACGATCCCTGAACCCCAATCAATCTGATCAACACTACGACGGAGGGAATGGAAACAAAATGTGCGGATAAGACCCTTCTTCGTAGCCTTGTACCCAGCGGTATATGCAGAACGTAGACGCGCGTGAAGGGCCAGACGATTTTTTGCGACTAGGTCGTGAACGCCAAGATCGGAGGAATAATCGGGCAGAGTACCAGACTCCTCGAGAAGAAGTAGGGCCGTACATACATACATAGATAAGCACGCGACGAGGCGTGTATTTCATCCAAATCGATTCAGTTTGCCTTCCTCTTTCCACCAATCACAATAATATACATAATAGCCAGCCGTTGCCTGTGAGCGGAAACAAAACAAAAAACAAAAAGACATGATAGCCCACCGCGAGGGTCGAACTCGCAGCCTTCAGATGCCACTGCCTAGGTGAGACTTAAGAGTCTGACGCTCTATCCGATTGAGCTAGGCGGGCTGTGCACTCATCTGCCCGGGTCTCAATCTCGATCGGTCTTAGCCTCCCGGTGAGGTGTCGAGGGTGCTGCAGACTATTAGTGTATGGTGGGATCTCTTGGTGTTGGTATTTGAGAAGGAGATTTTTGTTGATGCAGTAGTGTGCTTACCTTGGACTGTAGTCTGTTAGATATAAACATCACAGATTATCAAAATGTCTTTCTAGAGTAACATTGTTAATTCATGCATCCCTACTAACCACTGAAATTTGATTTTTTCAAAACTACCATCCAGATAATAGATTCCACCAATAAAATTTTAAGGCCCCGCTTGGGAAACTCATTACATTAGATTATAAAATTTGTCAGTGTGCCAACATAGTTTTGAGTCCGTTAGATGTCACACTCTTGTGATGTAATATCAATCAGGCCCTGATGCAGTGCAGTGGCACATACATACAGTGCTTTGTCGTACTGCCCACTGGGACGAGATCTCAATTTTTTTTTCAAAGATAGGCCTCATGTGTGGAAGGGGGCATCACGTGATAGGTTACCTTCTGTGGCAAGGGTCCACAATGTCCTGCAGATGTTGCGGACTTGGTGCAACAAAAAACAAAAAATCAGACTCCATAGAGCCATTGGAAATGTATGCCATTCAACATCTATAGAGTCCAATTGTGAGTAAAGAGTGTTCAATGCAAGATTTTCAAGCTTTCAGTGAATTGTCAAGGTTAGATCATGTGATGCCTCCGTCTGTGCATGACTTAGCAAAGCAGAGCTCATCTTTTCAGGGCCCTTGATAATTGACTATTTAACATGATTAGGACCATCAGAATGTAAGAAGACAAGAAATTGATCTTCTATCATTCAGTTGCAGCTAGTCCCTCAGCTGTACAGCATTGATTATCTTGCAATGTGACCATCTGTGACTTGTGCATGGAAACTATGTTGGGACACTGACAAATTCTATAATCCAATGTAATCTACTCTAATCCATCTCTAACGAGTTTCCTGAGCAGGGCCTAATGCATGCACAAGCTTGAGTAGTTGTTGATCACACTATAGACTATAGGTGGTAGGTAAAAACTAAAAAATGTTGTCTGCAGTCTCTAAGGCCATGTCCTGAGCTTGATTCAAACAAGGCTCTTCTCCATTAATGAAGGTTCAAGAGGTGGCCTATTCATTAACATGGAGTGGGCAGCTAATTACACTATCAGGACTGTGTAAAATATAAACTCAACATTCATTACATCAGGAAAAACAGTTTCAGTCTGTAGTCGACAGCCAAGGTATCAGGTGCTAAGAACAGGAGAGCCCTTTATGTAGCAGTCCATAACTCTGGTAGAAGTTGGTAGCTCACACTACAACTCTATGCTCTCTATATCAAGCATCTATTATCTGCAGTTTGTTAGGGCGACACTTTGTCCTGCTAGGGATTTACTGGAATCAACCACTAAAGCAGGCTAAACACCTGAGACTTAGGTAGAGAGTGAAAGTTGACTAGGCAGTAAACCTAAGAGAACTAGACTGAGTTCTCTAGGTGCTATATTCACTCTATATATACTACTCTACTGCTGCACCACATATTCTATATGTGGCATACTCAGTCAGCGCCAAGAGTTTAATCAGTCAGCACTAAGGTATGTATGTAATAGTAAGTATGTAATGTTATCTGGCCAAGATAATAAGTAATCTAATCTACAATGTCTATGATAAGATAAGTGGACTTAGTGAAAAAGAAATAATAGGTGTTTGGGGCGATTCCATAACATAGTTTATAGCAACCCCCACTAATCCATGTAATGAATAGACTCAAAACTACACTACACTTATACTACTATTTTACTTCAAGAGTCCAAGTCATGTTATTAACTAGTCTACAAGATCAGCTTCATTGGTAGTTGTCATAAAAATTCTGACTAGAGTGAAGATCGAACCCAAGCACTCAAGATCAAGGCATTCAAACCTGATCCTATAGACCATTTGACTACATGGCCTTATAATGTTGCAGCAACAATCAGATTATGACACCTCCAGGGATGGCAAGGCACAAAAATTTCTTTTAAGTCATTTCAAGCCCCACCTGACCTTGTTCCTGTGTATTCCTGTCTTGTTGCATGACGTCTTGACTTCCACCCCCACTATCCCCCCCACTATTCTTGCTCCATGTGACTGTCTCTGTTGACAGAAGGTAGGCTGTGATGACAAATGTTCATTCTTGTCACCAGTCTGTTGGTGCTACTTGTATAGCACAGCCCACCTCAAAATCCCTTTTTTTCACCCTTGGGCCTTCACTTTCTTGATGTGCTTCACTATATACCACACCCCAGGAGTTTAGCCATGCCCAGGTCTAATTCTACACTACTGATTTTCCAATAGTGGACTCATCTGTCACAACCCTCTTCTAAC